CTCCCTCTGACCCTCCCCCCTCTCATGTGCTCTCTGTCTCTCTCATTCTCTCTGTCTCAAATAAATAAATAAAATCTTAAAAAAAAAAAAAAAGAGTTCATACAATATCCCTGGATGTCAAACTTGGTGTCTGAAACCTGAAAGAAGGCAATTTGACAAATACATATGTGATGTTTCTGTATAATCAGCTTCTCTAATTAATGGCAAATCTTCTAAACTTGGAAACAAACAGACATTCTGAAGTACACTCTTAGAATGAAGTACATGGGCATTCTCACCAGGGATGACATTGCACCCAACAGTATGAAAATTGGTTCTGGGGTAGGGGGTGGGGGTGCAAAAATAGCATTTATGTATGGCAATGGTTGGTGGCCCCCAAAGCTCAACTTTACCTGACAAAATCTTATCCCTTAGTATTTAGTTTCTCTTGTTAGGAAGAATTTATATTTATTTATTTTTCTCTTTAGAGAGGCGATATGTAAAAAAGATTGAGAAACACATCTAAAATACCGTACCTGAATTTGAACCAATTAATTTAACAGGCCCCCAGATCACTCACCAAATGATGTAATTTCACTCTCTGTTAGAAAGTGTCCTAAATGTGACACTTTTAGGGGACTACTCTCTCTAAGGGGACTTGATTTCTTTAATAAAACTTGCGGAGCATTTCTCACTTTGCCTTTTAGGAAACAAAAAGATGAGAGGGACAGGGAAAAAATATGACAAGATCCGTTAACGATAAAATTGAAAGTCGGTTCTAAGTTTTTGACACTCAAATGTATTCGAGAAGCTTTAAGATCAGTACTAAATAGTCAAGAGACTTGCCTGAGACTTGGGCTTGGTATATTTGTGTTAGGAAGGCCACATGCTCTGCCAGTGCAAGCTCAAGCATGCTCAGAGAGAAGATTCTCATGTGGCAGAAACCTAAATGTGAAATACAATGAACTAGAATTTGAAGTCAGTGAGGTGCTGCGGCAAGGAGCAAAAGCTCCCATGCATCATGAATAGGGGATGTCGAAATTTCCATTCTTTCATTGTAATCGGTTAGCTTGTTGAATGATAATATTTTCCTAACTGTGGCCTTAAGGAATAATTTCTGGGATGGTGAAGATGCAGTTTATTCTACACAGATCACTTTCATCATGTTCTTATACCCCTAACAGAAATGGTGGCCTAGAATGAGTGGTGTGCTAGTAAATGTTTAACAACCAGCTCCGTAAGGGGGGAAACAATCCCTGATTTATAACATTTGCAGATTCCCATAAAATATTCCCACTCTATGTCTGACATGACATCCTTAATTATGCAATTGGAAAGAGATGTACAATATCACCAAATTCTATAGTAGTTCCACCATACAGACACAACAGACATAAATCGCCTCAAAAGAAGAGTGAAAGAATAATTGTGACAGGCAGTAATGTAATTAAAAAGTGATGACTTAATTATTTAATGCCTTTAATTTTAATGTAATTTATTGAATTGTAAGTTTATATAAATTTATATTTACTAATGGCTCTGCTTAACGACTCACTTACAGAATATCTAAGAATATTAACAATTGGCAGGTAGCAGCAGGCCCCAACACATGACTGCCTATGACAAGGAGGCAATGATTTGAGAACAGATTTACACTGCAATATCTGCAGGTCTATGTGACTTTGTTTTTCCCAAGGAAAAGGCTATACATAAGATTCAGAGTAGAGGCTTCACCGATCAATACATTTATTAGGTTGGCTTTTATAAGCACTTCCCTTAATATTGTATTTATTCCAGCAGAAAAAAATATATGCAGTTATATCATATCTGTATATCATATATCTTAGCTTTTTACATTCTATATTTCTTTGGTTCTCAAAAAAAATTTTGATAGAAAAGTGGCTCAAACTATTCTCTGTATCATCAAATCTATTAATAGTTATATTCAAAGTAGAAGATTTAGTTTGCATAGCACACAGAAAAAAGGTATAAAATCATAATAGCACATGAGTTTTATATCACATTGTATAATTTAGAAAGTGTATAACTCACTGATACACCATACCATATATACCATAGATATTTCATTCAGATAAATTTTAAACACAAATTTTATATCCAGCCTTAGTATTGTTGTCTCATAGTGTGAAATTCATTTCAGTGCATATTTATTTAATGTTTACTGTGTGTAAGGAAATGTGTCATATTAAAGAGGAGGAACACTAATTATTTTGTCCCTTAGGCAGGTAGGAAAACAAGGGACATATTTCAGTCTGGTCTATCTTTTAAGAGCCTTGAGAACTAGAGATGTTAGGCCAGGGAGTTTTTATTTATGTGTTAAGACAAAAAAGAAAGTACAGTCTGTCTTCCTATTCCCCCCACACCAACCACCACTACTATTATTATCCAATAATGAAGATTTTTAATTATACCTCTGATAGCTAAGAATAGCAGTGGTGATCCAAAGGAAAGAGCCTAGGAAGGATTATCTTGATTCAAATTATAGAGAGATGACTAAGGAGTGAAAAGAAAACAGTATAGCAAAAGGAAGGGTTTTTTTTTGTTTGTTTGTTTTTTTAAGATTTTATTTATTTGACAGAGACAGACACAGCGAGAGAAGGAACACAAGCAGGAGGAGTAGGAGAGGGAGAAGCAGGTTCCAGCGGAGCAGGGATCCTGATGCGGGGCTCGATCCCAGGACCCTGGGATCATGACCTGAGCCGAAGGCAGACGCTTAACGACTGAGCCACCCAGGTGCCCCTAAAAGGAAGGTTTTGAAGATTGGAAGAAACTGTTGAAGGGGCAGCCTCATTCTTGAGGGTCTCTGGAGAGGTAAAAAGGTAAAGATTCGAATAAACTTAGGAAATTTCCCTTGGTCTTAGGTAATTTTTAGTAAACTCCTTATTACTCTGCATTTTTGTTTTGTTTTGTTTTGCAATTAGATACAGTTTTCTTTATATATGTTACCTCCCATTCATGCTTTGAGGGAAAAGCCAGGAAAGGAAGAAATCTGTAGTATAAGCATGTTATCTCCCTAATTATCATTATATCCATCAAACTCTAGATGTGACTCTCTATTTGGGTATCTGCAATCTGAAAATTTTTATTTCGGTAATTACCATTAAAAAGGATGCGAACTTTATTACACTGAGTTTGAAATACCTTAAGACCATTCTATTCTCGTGAAACTTACATTCTTAATAGTTTTTAAATCTTCAAATAGCCTAATCTTTTGGCCTCCTTCCTTTTATTCTCCATATAGCAATGGATTCAAAATCAGCTGGGAAAACGGTGGCTAAGCTGCTGACCAAACTACACCATACTTTAAAGCACACGTCAGCAGTTTTGCTTTGTCTTTTGCCCTAGACATCCCTTTATAGCTTTTCTGTTCTGATAATCTATTCCAGAGTTCCTGCTTACCTGTGAGATATTTCTGCAACGTATTTTGCAGCCTTTTCCATTCATTTGTTGAGCTCACAAAATCCCTGCTTAAAATATGACATTGGTGAAAGCTATGAAGAAAACAGCTATTGTTCAGACTGGAAATGTCTGTGGCCAAGAATAGCAATGATTTCTCTGGTGCCATTTCTATCATCAGTATCTTTATTCCTGGCAATTCAACATCAGCATTTGGAGATTTTATTGAACAAAGGAAAATTGAATTAATGAGCCAACAAAAATGATCAACATCAAAGACTGGATATCATTGGAAAAAACAAGCAAAAGAATGAATGTGTTCAATGATGTTAGTGCATGGCATGACTATTCTAAAGGATGTCACCTATCAACCTTTTGAATGAATAAACAAAACATAGGTTAAGAGCTGGTATTACAATCGCCTCTTCCAAGGATAGATTTGGACATGATCTCAGTGAATATATCACCAAGGCAGAGTGGAAGATTTTCCCTAATCTCTAAGACTTTAAACCCAAAGCCATTCCATTGAATCTTCCCAGTGTTCTAATACCTATTTAACTAATTCATTTATACTAGTTGTTGTAATTCTACATGCAAAGGATACAATAGTTCTAACTAGCATTAGCCAAAAGGAAATGTTGAAAAATGTATATTGTAATTCTACATTAGTGTACCTGCTTGGACTGTAACTCTGATAGTGATTATGGTCTGTAGTGAGGTAAGGGGTTGAAGACACAAGTATTTCTCAAGATTCTAGTGACCATAAAACTAAGATCCCCAGCCAGGACAAATAGTGCAACAAAAACAGACCTGTTAGATAGTTCTGACTAACACATAATATATGCATGATCTACCAAAAACAGGCATAACAAAGTGCACTTTTGAGTATTTAGTCCAGCCTACACCTGAGTCAAGATACTCTAAAAGGTAGTTCTGAGTGACTATTCAACCCTGTTGAAATATTATAGCTGGGTTAGTTGTCATAGTCAAATTAAATAGATTGTTGAGACCCTTTGGGGTTATGGCCTAAATAGGACTATTAATACTTGCCCCAATTCTGTCTTACTGCAGAAGCTTGACATAATTGTGTTGCAGGAAAAAAAGAAGCTTAAGGAATCAAAATAGCAAGGAATTAAATGGTGTACACAACTAAAATTTTAGGACCATTGTATTCTAATCCTAATCTTAAGTCTTTTCCTATTTGAAAGAATTTGAAACAATGTATATTTGTCACAGTTTTCTGTTGGATGAGGAGACTGTTGTCATCCTAAACTTAGTCTATGAAATGATGCATTTATAAAAAGTAACCGTTACAACCTGTGCTGAATATTCTGCAAAGCATTGAACGTATTATTAATTCTCTAGTTTCATTTTAAGAGTTAACTTTTTCTGGAGAAGAAATTTACACTTTACCCTCCAAATTTCCCTACTGTGACTTACATCCATCCAGAGAATGAATATTTTTAATATTTTTTCTGAAGATTTTATTTATTTATTTGTCAGTGAGAGAGAGTGCACACAAGCAGGGGGAGCAGCAGGCAGAGGGAGAGGGAGACTCCTCCTGAGCGGGGAACCCGATGCGGGGCTCGATGCGAGGCTCAATCCCAGAACCCTGGCATCATGATCTGAGCTGAAGGCAGATGCTTAACTGACTGAGCCACCCAGGAGTCTCCAGAAAATTCCTGGATCCCCTCCCTGAAGATTCTGACTTGTAGCTCTGAGATGTGCACCCTGGGTGGTTTGGTTGTAAATGGTGCACAAAGCACTCTGCAAATACTGCATGTTGACCAGCCTGGTTGTAGAATGCATGCAACTCATTTTCAGCACACCTGCTGCTCTCCCTGATAGCAGGAATTACTCTGTAATGTGTGTATGTGTTAAAGAAATCACATTGGATATGTGATAAATCTGGTGTAATTTTGATAAGTATATAAATCAGTATGAGAAAAAAGTTTGCATCTTGGCCTCACCATTGATATTATTCTTTTTATCTTCGTTATCAAGTTCCAATGCCCAGCACATGAAAAAAAAAAGGAAGTTTGATGAATGTCGAAATATTTTTCATTTATAATTCTTTTCTACTCAAGATATTTTTTCTCATGTCTTTAGGAAAATACTAGAAAAAATATATAAAGATTATGTATTTTAATAAATCAACATCTGAAAATAAGGCACCTCCTTGTCAGGAAGTGTGTGTGTGTGTGTGTTTTAGGTAGAGAGAGAGAGATGAAAAAATGTGAGTAATCTTGGTTGAAACAACTGAACACACAGAAAATCATGCCTGAAGGCAATGCAGCTAGGAACAGTTCTCAAATTCTACCATGGAACTGCATTCCCAAATGGAGGAAGACCATCAGCAAATGCTGGGTGCCGCAAAGTGTGGCAAATATTTCCTACACAACAGATCTCTATAGCTCAGTAATAATAGTCACAAGTCCTCTTATGAGTATGGTTTTGAAAAGGGCTGATATTATAATATAATATTACAAGATTCAGTTTCTAAAGATCATGCCATGGATATGGAATAGAAGGTGTTAACAAGGTAATGTAGGAGAAGAACGCTGTAATTATTAAAAATGCCTGGCTTTGGGGGCACCTGGGTGGCTCAGTCAGGTTAAGCATCTGCCTTCAGCTCAGGTCGTGAGCTCAGGGTCCTGGGATCGAGCCCTGTGTCGGGCTCCTTGCATTGGGCTCCCTGCTCTGCGGGAAGTCTGCTTCTCCCTCTCCCTCTTCTCCCCCTGCTCGTTCTCTCTCTCTCAAATAAATAAAATCTTAAAAAAAAAAAAATGCCTAGCTTTTGTATGTGGTTAACCTTTTGGCTACATGGACCTGTTTATTTATTTTCTATTTATTATTCAACTCTAGCTAACTATATCCAGACTCTAGATTTTTTTTCTGGGAAAAAAAAGATAGAAACTGGTAATTAGACAATTTCCTTACCAACGACCAATTCTTAGATCTTGCTTTTAAGACCCAATTGTACAATATAAATTTCCTAAAACTCTGAAGAAGATAAGCCTAAAGAACATACATTTTATCTATTTACTATTTTGCATATCATATAATTGTCTGAATTAGTGGATATTAAATTCATGCTGCTTTCCTTTTAGAATTTTAGAAACAGAGAGTCATTATGGTAATCTTTCCTAAATCACTGCATTGACCACTCTATAACGTTTATTTCAGACATATATAAGAACGTCACCTGCAATAAGCATTTAAAAAATACAAATGCATTAGACACCAGAAGACTGCCTACAGGCCTTCAGAGAAATACCAGAGAATTATTCCTGTCTACCTCCCTCCCACCATCAGATTCTTCCACTCACATATCCCATGTACCACAGGGCATAGAAGATGTCTTCTACGGTCTTAGATAATCCTCCTTCCTTGTGCCTCCTTTTAATTGCCCTTTCTAGGCATGGTGATAAAAATCTGTCTTATTATTTCATTATACATTTATTAGTTGATAAATCTAATTTGCTCTTTTTCAAATTAACAACATTTGAAGACAATTGCCAGTTTTACAATCAGGTCTTTTGTGATACATTAAAATACGACTTGCATTTACAGTTTCAGAAATCAATTGATATTTTATAAAGTTAGATGTGGTTTTATACTTTGATAGTTGCCAGAGGAAAATATCTTTAATTCATTAATTATTTAAACTACTGCAGGAAAGTCTTATTTGTACAAAAAATTCTCTCTTTCTATTAAGATAGGAATTTCAATTTATATTCCTCTTGAATTTTGAAAATCTGTTTTCACTGAGTAGTTCAAAAAGAATGTTGATCTCCCTTGAATTCTAAGAAAAATATAAGTACCTTAACTATTTTATAAGTAAACAGTTAATTTGCTTGTACATTGAGTAGATTTTAACTTCTATAATTATGATTTAAATTTAAATGGAATTATTTAAGCAAATGCACAAGAGGGGAGAAAACTCTTTAATAATAAATAACAATCAGTAAAATAATAGAGAAGTACTCAATTTTTCACACAGGTCTAGGGGAAAAAAAACTGGTAAAACTAGTGCACTGTGAAGCCAAGGAATTTTATAATAAAATTCATGAAAAACAGTGGAAGGGATATTGACGTCAGTGTTGAAAAGATACACTGTAAGCCTCTGGTCTTACAAACAGAATTAATTTTATTTCCCATTTTAAATTTAAAACAATTTTTTTTCTATGTTTTGCTATATATGCTCATTTCTAACAGAGTTTTCTCTTCTGGAGAGAATTCTAAAGACTATTTTGGAGTGTCTTTGGGCTCATGTAGAACACTACACTTTGAACGTAACATCAAACTAAAATATGTAATTAACAGAAAGGGAAAGAATTTCTAAATGGTTCAGGACTTTAGTTTAGAAGGCGTACATTCTTTCTGCTCATTCTAGGGCTCCTTCTGTCATGGAGGCAGGGGCAGTAAGGGGAGAAGCAAGTTCAATTCTCCTTTAGTCCTGTTACAAATTATATGACTCAAGCTTCATTTGGTTCCATGAATATGTAGACATAATATTGGCAATTCTATTTCACATCCTCTGAGTTTGAAACTGATGCAAACTCAGAATAAGCCAATATACTCACAAACCAAGTAAAGGTGGGGAAAGCATCCTAAACTCTCAATAACACTAATTGTAATACTTTCCTTAAGAATTCTTAGGGGATTGCCTTTTTCTTCTGGCTGCACTATGAAAAATATATATATTAGTAGTCATCTTTATGTTAGGGCATTTTTCCTAAGTTTGAAATGTTTGGTTCTTCCTACCTTTTGTCAGAAACACTATTCACTCAAGTCAGTAGGTATTTTGGCCCAAAAGAGTATATTTATCACTCTTTATATGGAAACTGAAAATAACCCCTGAAGCTTCCAACTGTTTTACTGTCTTAATAGAAAGTCTTCACCCACACAGAAAGAAAAAAATTCTTTATGTATTTACATTTTATGTGTTAATTTGATAAGCTGTTAACTTTGACTTTTTATACAGAATATATATGTGTCCTTCATTTATTCAAAATAGATTTATTAAATATCTAAAATCTAGGCACTGTAGAAGACCTTGGGAAAAACTCAAAGATGTTTCGGTGCCATTAGTGAACTTATTCAGCAGTTAAATTACTACTGAACATAAAAAATGGACAAAATCCCAGAAATAGGCACTAGTACAGATATTCAATTATGATAAAGCATGACTGCTCTGCTTGCAAGAATTTTAATGTGTGAGTGAATTTTAATGTGGTGTTAATTAATGTGGGTGAGTGGAAATGTGTGTTTTAGAGGAAGAGGTATGATAGATTAAAGATGGCTGCAAACGCAAATTCTTTTTCACTCTTCCCTTTGAGGAGTAAATTCTAACTGAATGGGGCTACCCTCAGTGATTTATTTATTTGATTAATAGAATGCAC